TCCCCACCAAAGAATCTCTTTCCCTTTATCTCTTCTTCTATTTTCTCCATTACTTCTCTTGCTACTTTCACACCCTTTTCCCGCTCATCCCCGCTCGAACACATACCAAGCCATGCTGCATCAAAAAGCTATTCTATACCCATTTCAAAATAACTTAATACATCATTTACTACATACACTTGTTTAAGTCACGAATTATACACATATAGTCATATATATATGAAAAAAAATATTTAATATAATAACTAAAATTGTATTAAATAAAGATTCTTAATCAAATAAAAATTTATATTAAATATATTAAGTGATCAAAATATTTTAATATTTATATATTTTTATTTTTATTTTTGATAAATGATCTTAAATAAATAAAATAATATTACATATTTTTAATTGATTTGTAAATAACAAATTTTAAAAACTTCAAAAATCTATTCATATCAAATCACAAAATATTGATTTAGGTGATTCAAATTTCATATTTTATTCAAATTAAATCACACTTAATTTCTTATTTAATTCACGAGACTTTTAAGACCAAAATCAAACTAAATCACACTACAACACCACCACTAATTGAAATACACAACTTCGGATATCGATCTTCTGGTTCTCTTAATTAAATATTCTCATCATTTTTGGGCTATGCATTATTTTACTCATAACTCCCATCATCTCAAACCATATATCATGCTTCTATTTTTATAACCCGGTCTTGGGACGGTTCCATTTTGTGTATCGTAAGGTAAGAATATGGGGACAGAAAAATTTATAAGTAAAGGATAAGGAATTAGAAGGGTGTCTCAATCATTATGAAACATGCGAATCACGGGCCAACCACACTTCACTTTGATTGGAGAAGTTTTGTTCTTACTCAAGCTTATATTGTTTGAGGTGAAAATAAGTTTAAAATTTGGAACAAAATGGGGATAGTTGAGTTAATATATAAGAAATAAATGATAGAGTAACATAAAAGAAATAAAAAGGGATTTGGTAAAATACCTTTTGCTCAACGAAATTAGTCCAGAAGCGAACAAGTGCTCTTTGATAAGGATGTTGAGGCAAGAGTGGATACTGCTTCCATGTTTCATCGATGTATTCAAGGATGATAAGTGACTCAGCAATGGGTTTGTGGGCATGAACAAGAACCGGAACCTTCTTGTGAACCGGGTTCAGCTGGAGAAGGAGATTGCTCTTGTTGAAGATATCTTCTTCAATGTACTCATATTCTACACCCTTGAGTTTCAAAGCCCACTCTACCCTTTTACCAAATGGACTCGCCCAAAAGCTCACCACCTTCACCTCTTCACTTCCCATCTTTCACTACTTCACTTTCACTTTCCTTTCTCTCTTCTATTAATAATATCTTGTGTTAGGTTGTGGTGCTTATCACTATAATTTTCTTGTCGCCAAATTTGACCAATTCAACCATGTCATCTCTCTTCAAATTCGGCCTATTTTTTTCTTCTTCATATTTACAAGTTCTCATTTGTTTCTTAACTTAAAAATAGTTTATTTATGGTCTTTAATGTTGTTAATTTTATCATTTTAGCCCCCCTTATACCATAAATAATTATTTTCAAATTAAGGGGACAAAAAATAATCGCTTTTAAATTTAGGTAACAAAAAAAATTATGTCCAAATATGAGGGACTAAAATATTTTTTAAAAATTTTAGTATGAGTAATGTAAAAGATGATTTTTTATTTTATTTTATATAACAAATGAATATTTTTGTATATATAATTATGTTATAATTAAAATTTATAATAAATAATATTTTTACCATATAAATTATATTTTAGTTTATGATAAATAATTTATATTGTGATTCAATTTTTTTAATTATTGATAATGTCTTTTGAAAATATTAAAAATTTAATTAATAAATAAGAATGAGAATGATTAATTAAAGAAGACAAGATTAATAAATTAAGAAAAATTTTAAAAAACACTATCCTAGAAGGAAAATGATTAAAAACATTCTTGTTAAAAAAGCCTCTATAATACTCTTGTTCAGAAGAAATCTAATTTAATAAAGAAGATTTTTATTTATAATTTATTTTAAGATAATATTAAATTTAATTAAAAATGAAAATTATATTTTTTTTAACCATAGATTAAAATGATATATTGTTAAAAATAAGAAGATATGAAAAAAAAATCATGAAAAAACGTTCCAGTTGAAAGAAAATAGTTTATAACACTTTTGTTGAAGAATGATGCCTAGAATTACTCTGATTTGAGATAATTATTTGTATTTAATATATAGGATATATTTTCTATTTTATATAGTTAAATTTCATCATAAACAAATATTTTAAAAAATTATATTATAGATTTGTAATAAAATAATTTAAACTGTTATATTTAATAATTGATGAATTTTTATTAGAAGATAAAGATGAAAAATGATAAATTAAAAGATATAGGCATGAGAAGCATCAGATACCCAACAAGGGTTAGTTGATTAGATCCCGATTGGATGAATTGATGACGTAACGAGAAGCTGCAAGGAAATTGCTCGTGTCTTTGATAAAATCAGCAACACAGTAACCAATGAACTCCCATCGTTAGATTTTTTTTTTCCTATCCAACGGTTATTTGTTGAGGAATCACGCAAGCAATGACGAAGGTCATTGACTCATAAAGCTTCTTCAACCATTGGAATGAGTCCCTTCTTTTTACATTAGGTTCCATAGTTTGTGAATGTGATTTATCAAAATCGCTGTGGCTAACGATATATGCTTCAATAGGTAAAAAAAAGAAAAACACCCTTCAACGTCATAGACAACAAACATGGTGTTAATTATTGATTAATTGGATAATCTAAAGACATTGAAATATTCCATCTAGAATGAGATAATTTGACAGCAAACTCACGAACTTCACTGAGAAGAGTCAGAACTATAACTCGATAGAGTTGTATAAAAATGTAAGGCTCTTGCGGCTCGCATAAAACATTAATGGAAATAAACAAGTACATACTTAATCCAACTTTGTCAAAGACAATGTGAGAAAAGGACAAGTTTCCTAAATTTGACTCCACAAAGAGAGAGGAACAGATTACAGATCTAAACCTTATGCAAGTTTTGGCTATTGTTTCTGCGATTGTGATAGTAAAGAAGCATCTTATCTCGTGGGGGCAAGGTGTCCTTGATGACAGGGTGGCTCAGGAAATTGGTCATCCATGAAGTGATGCCTGGAAATTTCAATGGCTCTATCATCTTCATTGATCCAACTTCCTCCCACACAGGAACCAAGTAAGCGATCCATCCAAGTGCAACGTCAAGGTACCCAATATTCTCCCCTCCAAAATATTTCTTCCCCTTAATCTCTTCTTCTATTTTCTCTATTATATCATTCGCTTCCTTCAAAGCCTTTTCTTGTTCTTCCCCACTTCTAGACATTGCTACCCATCCAGCTTTCCCAAGCTATATACAAAGTAAACATTAAAAAAATAAAAACTTGTTGAAAGGGTGTTTTTTTTAAATCTAAAAAAAGGGCACAAAATAAAACCTTGTTAATCTTTAATTTGCAACCCCACAAAAAGATAAAAAGAAAACCTTTTGTTCAACGGTTGTAGCCCAGAAGCGAGCATGAGCTTTGTGATGAGGATGGCGAGGCAACAAGGGATAATGCTTCCATGTTTCATCGATATATTCAACGATGATAAGTGACTCAGCGATGGGTTTGTGAGCGTGAACAATGTTAGGTACAGCTGCCATATGATGATGTTGAACTATATGTTGATAGTTGTTGAATTATGCTGTAATTGCTGAGCTGAGATGTAATTGATGAATATGCTGTGCTGACTAGATGGTCATGCTGAATAATGATGTTAAGCTGTTATAGATGTATATTATCGTGCTGAGCCGTGCTGTAAGCCGTTATTGTTGTATGATGAATTGTTGTGCTGTGTTGTATGCTGATATAAACTGTTGTAGGCCATAAAGCTGAGCTGTTGTAGGCCGTAAGGCTAAGCTGTTGTAGGCCGTAAGGCTGAGCTGTTGTAGGCCGTAAGGCTGAGCTGTTGTAGGAGATCTCCGAGCTGATATGCGTGACGACACATTGTGTGCTTATTGTTGTTTATGCTTTATAGTTGATGAGATGTATGCCGATGATGTTCTAATAGTTGTAACTGTTCATATTTCTTATATATGCTTTATATGCTGATTCTTTTCACTAGCTTACCCTTTGTTGTTTCCATGTGTTTGGACTGCGATGATCATACGTTGTATGGGAGTAGAGCAGGGTTAGGTTGGTGATTGTGGCAGGTCTGCAGCTGGCAGATAGAGTTGACTTTGCTTTTGTTGTTTGATGTTTTGGGCCACTATTTTGGCTACTTTGGGTTGTACTTATACTCTGATGTCTAGCTCAGATTGGACCTTGTGTATATATTTATATACTTGCTCTTATCTGTGTGTATGCCGTGATGTCGGGTAGTGTGTAGTGACTAGCCGGGTCGTTACACTTTAGTGGTATCAGAGCAGTTCGAGTCTAGTGGACACTCTTTGGGGGTGGTTCCTTTAGGCTTTTGTTGTGCTGAACTCTGTGTTGTGCTGATTTCTTGTTGTTTGTTGTGTTGTTGATTATTGTTTGGTTTAGTTATTGTATATTGAAGATGCTGTTACTTTTGTAGACAATGTTTAGAACCAATGAGCAGATAGCCCGTGCCATGAAGATGATAGCTATGGCTATGCAGCAGCAAAATGCCTATTTTGCTCGGATGGATGCTGTTGATAGAGCTGCAGCTGGTGCAGCAAGGCCCACAGGGTCACAGGAGAGCCGAGATCTTGCTGAGTTTCGGAAATGCCATCCTCCACAGTTTAAGGGAGATGCAGATCCGGAGGTAGTTGACCACTGGATCTGTGAACTTGAGAAGATCTTCACTGTGCTAGGATGTTCTCAGGAGAAGAGGCTGGCATACGCTATTTATATGCTTGTTGGAGAGGCTAAGCATTGGTGAAGGGGTACTCACCATATGCTTACTGCTAGAGGAGTTACAGTTGACTGGGAGTGCTTCAAGGCAGTGTTCTTGGAGAAGTACTTCCCGGAGAGCGTGAGGCACGCCAAGGAGGCTGAGTTCATGCGGTTACACCAGGGTGGGCTGTCTGTATCGGAGTATGCGATGAGATTTGAGCACCTGGCTCGTTTCTATTCGCAAGCTATATCTGAGGCCTGGAAATGCAGGAAGTTTGCTGAGGATCTGAAATATGAGCTGAAGAAAGTGGTAACCGTGTGACTAGAGCTGCTGAGGGACCAGCTGGGTCCAAGAAGGGAGGAAATCAGAGGAAGCCATATGATAGGCCCCAACCACAACAAGGGGGTCCTGTCATTAGGCAACCTGCTGATGCTACTAGAGGAGGGAGACAGGGTGGAGGTGTTGCCCTTAGATGCTACAAGTGTGTTGGGCCCCATTTGATCAAGGATTGTCCACACACAGAGAGTTGGTGTTTCAGGTGTCAACAGATGGGCCATGAGTCATTCAACTGCCCCACCAGAAACAGACCGGAAAGGGGTGCTCAGAGGAGTGATGTGCAGAGAGGTGATGCCCAAAGGGGTGACAGACCCACTACAACTGGTAGGGTATTCGCCTTGACGGGTGCTGAGGCTTCGATTTCTTTTGACCTTGTTAAGGGGAAGGGCAAAGCTACTGGTAAAGATGTGACGTTTTTGTTTGATTCTGGAGCTCTCCACTCCTTTATTTCCTATGCTTGTGCTGCTATGCTGGGTGTGCATGTGTGTTAATTGGGGTTGAGACTGCTAGTGTCGACGCCCGCTTCTGCTTCGGTAGTTGCATCTGAGCTGTGTGTTGGTTGTCCTATTGTTGTGAATGGGATGAGGTATAAGTTGAACTTGATTTGTTTGCCTTTGGTTGATATTGACATAATCTTAGGGATGGATTGGTTGTCTGCCAATCGCATCCTTATAGATTGTGCCAATAGGCAGTTGATCTTTCCTCAGGTGGAGGATGAGCTGTTGATTTCAGTTGGCCAAGCTGAATCATTGCTGAGAGATGGAGCACAGTCTTGTCTTCTGCTTGCTGCTATGAATGTGGAGACCGAAAGGGTCATTGCTGAGATTGATGTGGTGAGGGATTTTGCTGAGGTGTTCCCTGATGAGGTGCCTGGGTTGCCTCCTGTTAGGGAGATGGAGTTTAGCATTGACTTGGTTCCAGGTGCGGGGCCAGTGTTGGTGGCTCCCTATAGGATGGCTCCTGCTGAGTTGGTTGAGCTGAAAGGTCAGTTAGAGGACCTGTTAGAGAAGCAATTGGTGCGGTCGAGTGTTTCGCCGTGGGGTGCTCCTGTGTTGTTGGTGAAAAAGAAGGATGGAGGTAGTCGACTGTGTGTTGATTACCGACAGTTGAACAAGTTGACCATTAAGAACAAATATCCACTTCCTCGGATAGATGACTTAATGGATCAACTGAGGGGAGCATTCGTTTTCTCGAAGATTGACTTGAGGTCAGGTTATCACCAGATTAGGGTGAAGGAGGGTGACATACCGAAGACTGCTTTCAGGACTAGGTATGGTCACTATGAATATGTTGTGATGCCGTTTGGTGTGACCAACGCCCCTGTAGTGTTCATGGATTACATGAACAGGATCTTCCGGCC